AATAGGTTTTTTAGAAATTTGATCGCACAAAATTCGCACCTTCGGATGAGTATTACTCTGAAGCTGTGCATACTACATACACAAAATACATATCAAATGACGCAGATTCGCGACTACAATAATCTTATAATCGATTTTTATAAATTCCTGTTTGCGTATTAAAACTAGAAGTAAAATTAAAAAAACACTCAAAATCGAGCCAAAAAAATGTCAGCATCATTTAAAGGTAGATGTAGTGAAAATTTTGAAAAATGGTACATAAGGGGCGTAGTCCCCATTTTGTTGGCTTCTAGTATTATTTTGACACGAAGACCGTGCAATGAGTGGTTTAGTCACAAATCGATAGAGAACATAAAAAAACTGGTTCGCCTCAACGTGTTTTTACACATTTATTTACATTAAAGTCGACACAGCTTCCACCAAAATAAAGTTTGGAGGTCAATATCATGAACAGTTTGCAACGACAGATCAATTAACCCAAAACTATTCACTTTTTTCATATACTTAAGTAATTCCCGAGTTATAAAGGGGTGAACCTCCGCTTCAGCTATGTTAAAAAATTGGCAATATTGCCCATATGTATATGTTGGAGCTATATCGAAATCAAATTAATAACCAAAAATCTTCACGACCTGTCTTTCTATGTTCTTGATATTCTCGTTTTCATTCACATAAGAAAATTTTCCACTCGATTTAATTGTATAGTGTTATATGTTTCGAATTCCGACTACAAACGCCGATCGGACTCAAATTACATGATGAAAGCTTTTCATATATGTTTCCTCCGGTGTACGATTTCCGACTTCATAGCCTTGGTTTGAATAATCATTATTGTCTCATTCTAAAGATTATGTGATACTTTCGGACGTCTCTAAAAACACACTTCAGATCTTAAAGGCTCCCTAATCCTTTAGTACATTTGCAACGAATTTGTGGCACTTCAGTTCCTCTACGAAGGCTCCTCGGATCTTATCTCCTTTGTGAAATTTACCAGGCCCTTCGGCTCATCTATGAAGACTTACTGCCGCTTCACATTGTCTATAAAGATGCCACAGTGCTTCCGTTTGCTTATGACCGTCAAAATAAAAAAACCAGTAAGGAAACTAGTAAAGTCGCACTGGGCCGACTATATGATACCCTTCACCACTTTGGGTATTTTGTACATATGATCCTTACAATTGCATGCCAAATTGTGGGACAAATTTATGGAAAATAATTTATAGCAAACAAAATTGATACACGCTATTTGGTATGCAGCACTGTTAAATATTTTATTTTATGTAGTGACATTGGTACACCATTTACCTTAAATCGGACGAAAATATATATGGGAGCTACATCTAAATCTGGACCGATTTCCAAGAAACTTAACACACATCATTCTAAACATAATTCATTACGCTATGCCAAATTTCGTGCTAATCCAACGATATATAGGGACATTGGTACAGCATTTACATTAAATCGGACGAATATATATATGGGAGCTATATCTAAATCTGGACCGATTTTTCCCAATTTCAATAGGGTTCGTCCTTGGGCCAAATAAGTGACATATGCCAAATTTCAGCCAATTCGAATCAAAAATGCGACCTGTACTTTGTTCACAAAAATACATGGACAGACAGACGGACATGCATAAATCGACTTAGAAAGTGATTCTATGCATATTCTCAAAAGGAACCATGTGTCTATCTCGTTTCCTTTTGCCTGATACAAACATATGCACAATGACATAATACATTGTAATGCAGCATGGTGAAGGGTATAAAAATTGCGGCATCTGAAATTAGGGGATCTGTAAAAAATGAACAATAACCTAGAATGCAAAAAATCAGAAACTTCTGTTAAAAATTAAGCTAAATTTGGAATTTTGGAAGGTACCATCTTATGGGGGATATACCAAGACCGATATATTCATGCACAATGTATGTGCAAAATTTCAAAGATCTATCTGAAATATTGCCAATTTTCGAGTCAAATGAACAATTGTAGTGTTCTGGAACAATTTATTCAGGGAGTCTTTAAATTGGAAAACAAAAATATGTAGATATATAATTGTCGATCACGTATACACGCTAACTTCTATTTGTGACTCTTTTCAAATCTTTGAAAATTTCTGTGCTCCATTCATCTAAATTTCATTTCAATATTGAACTTCAACCTAAATGAACATGTTCATCAAATTCCATAGCACCAACATCCCAACATCCCTACCTTTTACCAACAAAACATAACATGCTAAACAAAATGGTGTATACCTTTCGATTACATATCAAATTGCATCTCCTCAGGATGTACAATTTGATGTTGAAATGAATTAATTAAAAAAATACAACAACGAAAAAAGAACTCCCATAAATAAATGGATTCACAGCCGAAACCGCTGAGAGAAAGATGAAACCGTGCTTGGCGACGCCCTTTGTGACAGTTCGCTTAGTTACAAACATTTATGAGCCAGCCCATTTATATTTGTATGTATGAACAGCAACAACGACAACAAAATCTGGTGGGGGAAGATTAAAGGTAATATGCATTTGTTGCAAATGTCGGCTAACAAAACGCTTAGAAAATTGTAATCTAATGTTTGTTATCTTCAAATAAAATCCAATGTGCTCTCTCCCACTGAACTCTATGAATGGGATATTTGCATAAATTTAATCAATTCGCTATGATTTGAGGTTGTTGCAGTTGTAAGGTAACTGTAAGAAACTTGTTCATGTGTCCTCTAAGATTTATTTAAAATTGTGATGTTATTCGAAGTGTAATAAAAAAAATGATTTTGAAGACTCCCTTCAGCTCGTCTGTAGACCCCTTCTACTCGTCTATAGGAACTCCCTTCAGCTCGTATATAGAAGTCTTCATTCAGCATGTCTATAGAAACTCGTAGAGTTTTAGCTCGTCTGTAGAAGACTTCCAGAGCTCGTCTTTATAAGGCTCCTAGAACTTTAGCTCGTCTATAGAAGCCTACCTGAGTTTCAGCTTCCCTATAAATATTCCCTGAACTTCAACAGGTCTATAAAAATTCCTTGAGCTTCAGTTCGATTATAGATATTCCCAAAGCTTCAGCTCGTGTATAGAGGCTCAATGAGCTTCAGCTCGCCTATAATAGCTCCCTGAGCTTCAGTTCGCTTGCAACGACTCGCCTATAAAGACTCCCTTAGCTTCAGGTCGCCTATAAAACACTATAAGTATCAGCTCACCTTAAAAACCTGCCACGGCTTCAGACTCCAGCCACCCACTTCTACTCAAATACTCCTCTAGTAGGTCTAATTTTTGTTTATTATTTCCCATAAAATTTCCCAGACTTGTGGCCAACATTTCCACATTCCAACCTACAATGTATGGTCGCACCACGGACACTCCAGCTGTCCTTCAAATTCTTCTATAGAACATTTCAGCTCGTCTATAGAAGCTCAATAGGACTCATCTATTGAGACTGCTTCCGGCTCGTCTATTGAGACTGCCTCCGGGTCGTCTATTGAGACTGCCTGCGGCTCGTCTATAAAAGACACAAGTTTGTCTCCCATCAATTGGCTTCCGAGATTCACATCAACTCGTCTATACAGACTGCCTCCGGCTAGTGTATAGAGACACTATCCGGCTAGTCTATAGAGATTTGCTCCGGCTCGTCTATAGAAAACCCCACATCAGCACAACTACAGAAGACTTCCTTCAGCTCTTCTATAGAAGCATCTCCTCAACTCGTCTATAGAAGATTCTCTCCAGCTTGTCCATAAGACTCTCTCTAGCTGGCTTATAAAGACTCCGACCAACTCGTCTATAGAGACTTTTCAGCTCGCCTATAAAGATCGCCTGACCTTACCTCCTTGAATTTCAGTTCGGCCTGTCCAGCTCGTCTATAAAGTCCACATCTCTGAAGACTTTGTGACCTTCAGGTCGTCTTTAAAGACTCCTTAGCCTATAAATGATCCCTAGCCTATAAAGGCTCCCTGACCTTCAGCTCGCCTATAAAAACTCCCTGGCATTCAGTTCGCCTATAAACACTTTTTAGCCTTCAGCACTTGTATAGAGACTTCTCGAGCTTCAGGCCTGCCATAAAGAATTCCTGAGCGTTAGATCGCTCATCGCTCTGAGTTACAGGTCACCTACAAAGCTTCCCAGGGCTCCATCTTACATATACCTGCTCCCTGTGCTTCCGATCACCTATAAAGACTGCCTGAGCTTCAGGTCGACTACCTGATCTTAGGGTCGTATATAAATACTCCCTAAACTTCAGATCGTCTATAAATGCTCCCTGAGCTTCAGGAGGCCTATACAACTCTCCAAATTTCAGCTCGCCTAAAAAGACTGTCTGAGCTTCAGACTCCATTCAATTCGTCTATAATAACTCCCTGAGCTTCAGGAGGCCTATACAACTCTCCAAGTGTCAGCTCGTCTAAAAAGACTGCCTGAGCTGCAGACTACATCCACCCAGTCCATCAATAGATACTCCCTCAAACAGGTCTAATTTTTGTTTATTATTTCCCATAAAATTTCCCAGACTTGTGGCCAACATTTCCACATTCCAACCTACAATGTATGGTCGCTTTTTTCGCAGTTATTTTAAGAATGTCACTGCAATGCTATCTGCTCAGTACAAGTCACATGTTGCATGCAACAACGTCTGCGACTCTAAAAAACCAAGCAATCAGCACCCGTAGCAAGAAAATAACTCTGCAAGCCATAGACAATTATTGCAGTTGCTGTTCTTCGAGGTGGTGTTGGTAATGAAGATGCCACAAAAAAAGTGAAGGTTACATTACCACCTAAGATTGGATCGTAAAAAATGTTGCAGCAAGTGGTGCAACATAGTTTCTTCTTCATCATCATCAGCAGCAGCAGCTTGTTAGGGGGGACTCTGACTGGTAATGCTCCAATTATGACAAATGAAAAAGAAATGACGCCGAAGTGTGCAAAACAAAAAAAAGGAAAATTCTGAGGTAAATGTTAAGCATCTGCCAAACGAACGACAGTTGCTGCAGATACTTCCGTCAATAATGACGCTCGTGACAAAGTGGATGATGCGACATCATCTCCAAGTGTGGCTAATAATTTCATTTGTAATTAAATTAAGCAGTGGATTGGCTTTTTATGGAAATGGGTTTGTGACCATTAAACGATTACCTCCACCGGAATTGTGTACAACTGAGGCGTGTTTGGAGGAGGCGATGGCCAGTGATCCGCGACAACGAAGTCTTTTGGAATTGAAATATCGGCTCTATGATAATCCATATAAGTTACGATTCCAGCCAGTGAAAGCTATGCCACGTTTATTTTGGCATAAATTTCCACAAAAACAACAAGAACAGACGACCACAATGGCCCCCGCCACGGAAGAGCCGGAAGTTACTGAAATACCCGAAGAACCAGAGGAACCAGATGAACCAACCGAAGAACCCATGGAGCCTGAAGTTACAGAGCCTGCTATGCCGGAGACAGAGGCTCCACCACCACCAACAACACCCCCACCACCTCCTCCTCCCACTGAACCTGCTACGGAAATGCCAACGGAACCGCCAGTGGTAACAATTATACCCACCAGCAGCCCTGAAACACCTTTGAGGCCACCTGGAACAACATTTACCACCATTATGAAGCCACCGGGTTATTTCCCCTTCAATCTGGGTAACAAATTGAAAAATCTCCTGGTCTTCGGTTCGCCATCCAAAGTGAATCTCATACAGAAACATGGCCTAGTTCCAACGGCGAAAACGAAGAGTAAAGGTTTCCTGAGCCTCTTCGAAGTTATCAAATTTGCCAATACCAAATGTTCCGTAAATATGGGCGATATACGGTCCATGGAGGGTATTTGCTATCATGAATTCGAGTGTAAAAATCTGGGTGGCATACCCACGGAGAGGTGTGCCGATGGGGCAGGGGTGTGTTGTGTTTGTAAGTAAAATTTGGACATACAAACATCTCAAAATTATATTTAAATATTTTTTCTTTCAAGTCCTCACCGGTTGTGGTGATACTACGGATCAATCGGTGGTTTACTTCGAAAGTCCCGATTATCCTCAACCATTTCGTGAGAGCATGATTTGTGTGCTCATTGTGAATATTCGTAAAAATGTACAGCAGTTAAGACTGGATTTTCTGATGTTTGAGGTGGGTATTGGATTTTTTTTTTCAAAATTGGAATTACAGAAAGCAAAACTTTATTGCAGCTAAACCGACCAATAGATGGTGACTGTGAAGAGGATCAATTTGTGGTTTCGGGGCAAAATATTAACTTTGAGGTGCCGGTACTATGTGGCATCAATACAGGACATCACAGTAAGTATTAAAAATTACTACAAAGTCCTAAATAGTTTCAAGGTCCCTACAAGGGACCTTGAAACTACTACAAAATCCACGTGTATTCAAATACACGTGGATTTTTTAACGAATATTTTTTCGAGTGTTCAAATACACGTGGATTTTTTAAAGAATATTTTTTCGAGTATTCAAATAGGCGTTTATTTTTTAACGAATGTTTTTTCGAGTATTCAAATACACGTGGATTTTTTAACGAATAATTTTTTTGAGTATTTTAATACACTTGGATTTTTTAAAGAATATTTTTTCGAGTATTCAAATAGGCATGGATTTTTTAAAGAATATTTTTTCGAGTATTCAAATAGGCGAGGATTTTTTAACGAATATTTTTTCGAGTATTCAAATACACTTGGATTTTTTAACGAATATTTTATAGAGTATTCAAATACACGTGGATTTTTTAATGAATATTTTTTCGAGAATTCAAATACACGTGGATTTTTTAACGAATATTTTTCCGAGTATTCAAATACACCTGGATTTTTAACGAATATTTTTTTGAGTATTCAAATACACGTGGATTTTTTAACGAATATTTTTTCGAGTATTCAAATACACGTGGATTTTTTAACGAATATTTTTTCGAGTATTCAAATACACGTGAATTTTTTAACGAATATTCAAATACACGTGGATTGTTTTACGGATATTTTTTCGAGTATTCAAATAGGCGAGGATTTTTTAACGAATATTTTTTCGAGTATTCAAATACACGTGGATTTTTTAACGAATATTTTTTCGAGTATTCAAATAGGCGTGGATTTTTTAAAGAATATTTTTTCGAGTATTCAAATACACTTGGATTTTTTAACGAATATTTTTTTGAGTATTCAAATACACTTGGATTTTTTAACGAATATTTTTCCGAGTATTCAAATACACGTGGATTTTTTAACGAATATTTTTTCGAGTATTCAAATACACGTGGATTTTTAAAGAATAATTTTATAGAACCTAATATTACTTTTTTTGCAGTGTATATCCATGTTGGCCACTCTCCAGACCGCAAGGTGTATTTGTCAATATTTGCCAAGGTTCCCACAGGATCGAGGTCATTCAATTTTAAAATAACACAGGTATGATATTTTAGGAATATATGTTAGCGATTATTTCTCCCCGAATATGTTTTTGCAGTTAGAGGATAATTTGGCTCCCGATGGTTGCTTGCAGTACTATACAGATATGGAGGGTATTGTCAAGTCATTCAACTATGATATCGAAGGAACTGTGGTGGACAATAAATTGGCAACCTATTTGGTATTAAAAATATTTTTTAATTTAATTTGTAATTTCCTGGACTTTATTTCGGTCTTTTTGCAGAACAACTTAAATTATGTCATCTGTTTGGAACGTGGCAAAAATACCTGCAGTGTGCAATATGTTATGGAACAAATTGGCAGCAGTTCGGAACAATTGGATTTTCAAATAATTAATAAAAATGAAGGTATTCCAAAGCAACAATTCTCACGAATCGAAATAATGGAGGTATGCTTGTATTGTTGTTATCTTTGTAGATGAAAATGATTTGGTGCCCGATGGCCAGGCCGGTGCTGGCATCTTCAATTGTCCCGATGATTTTTTGGCCATCAATCAGGTGCGCCTGTGCGGTGAACGTTTCAACGATGGCTCCACAAATGAAGATTTCACCGTAAATGCACCAGTTCGCGATGTCGCGGCGGGACCAATTATTTTGCCCTTTCGCAGCAATGACGAATATGTGGGACGTGGTTTTCGCTTGTCATACCGCCAGGAATCATGTGTATAAAATTCGTTACCGTTACATTAAGGTGCACATAGTACCGCACACTCACACACACACAGACACAACTCTCTTTTCGGCTATCCAAATAAAAATTGTTCGCAAATTTGCATTAAATTTGTTTATGGTCATTGTTTGGTGTTTGATTTTCCGTTTTCGGCTTTAGGTTTCTCTTCTTTTAGGTTTTTATTTGGATCTGGCCTATGGAGATGGTGGAGGTAGTCCTCCTCACTTGTTCCAGTTACGCCAAATTTAACATTTCATTAGTACCCTGGGAATAGCGGCATATGTTGGCCGACAATGGCTGAAACTAATGCAACTTGGGTTTGCATTTCATTTCCTCCAAGGTACCTACAAGTCGTTTGGAAACTGTCTCGGTGATTCCCATGTAAATATCTCCAGTTGTAAGGGATTACAAGGTAAAGGGGAGCACTGCATGACCGAATCCATAGAGACAGAAATAGTTGATATTATTCCTGCTTTGTCGCCTGTTGTCGTTGCCGTTGCAGATTTTTGATTTGATTTCCATCACCACCACCATCAGACAATATCCATATCGTTGCCATCATCAACCAAAGCTGCCTGGCTGCTACAAAATAGAGACCCTAACAAAGCGCCACCCACATGTCATGGTGATGTCGCTGGCAAAATGTTTTCTTTTTGGTGTTCTACTCCTTTTTGATTGTTTGCTGTTACGGTTCTCCAAGAGCACCGAACACACGAAGAGCAACCCGAAAAAGGAATGAACAACGTTCACACAAATGGCACCATCGCCGTCACCACCCAATTGTTGTGGTTTTCTTGGTTAATTTTAAATTCGTATGGCAACTTAATTTCCTGCAATACCGTTAAATACTGTGGAACAGGATAGGATATTTTTTCTAGGGTCATTTTATCAAGGCTACAACAAGGCGTGGATTTTTTAAACGAATATTTTATCAAGGCTACAACATGGCGTGGATTTTTTAAGCGAATAATTTTTCAAGGCTATAACAAGGCGTGGATTTTTTAAACAATATTTTTTCAAGGCTTCAACAAGGCGTGGATTTTTTAAACTATATTTTTGAGGGACTATCACCAACCTAGGCCTGGATTTTTTAAACAATATTTTTGACGGACTATTTAAGGCGTGGATTTTTTAAACAATATTTTTTCAAGGCCTCAACAAGGCGTGGATTTTTTAAACAATATTTTTTCAAGGCTTCAACAAGGCGTGGATTTTTTAAACTATATTTTTTCAAGGCTTCAACAAGGCGTGGATTTTTTAAACTATATTTTTTCAAGGCTTCAACAAGGCGTGGATTTTTTAAACTATATTTTTTCAAGGCTTCAACAAGGCGTGGATTTTTTAAACTATATTTTTTCAAGGCTTCAACAAGGCGTGGATTTTTTAAACAATATTTTTTCAAGGCTTCAACAAGGCGTGGATTTTTTAAACAATATTTTTTCAAGGCTTCAACAAGGCGTGGATTTTTTAAACTATATTTTTTCAAGGCTTCAACAAGGCGTGGATTTTTTAAACTATATTTTTTCAAGGCTTCAACAAGGCGTGGATTTTTTAAAGAATATTTTTTCAAGGCTTCAACAAGGCGTGGATTTTTTAAAGAATATTTTTTCAAGGCTTCGACAAGGCGTGGATTTTTTAAAGAATATTTTTTCAAGGCTTCAACAAGGCGTGGATTCTTTAAAGAATATTTTTTCAAGGACTAACACAAGGCGTGGATTTTTTAAACGAATATTTTTTCAAGGATACGTGGTAAAGGGCGTCTCCATAGACGATTGTCTGACGTTTAGGACATTTTTGTAAACGACATGATGGTAGTTTTCTTCTATAAAAGACCGAGAGATGCTCTTCTACGAGTTATTCTCCTTTATAAACGACATGATGGTAGTTTTCTTCTATAAAAGACCGAGAGATGCTCTTCTATGAGGTATTCTCTTATACAACAACATCAAGCCTTCTTCTATATAATACCATGAGGTCTTCTTCTAAAGAAGGCCATCAATCTTCTTCTGAAGAAGACCATGAGGTCCTGTTCTATAGAATACCATGAGGGCCTGATATTTATACCCTTCACCATTGTGGACATGTTTGTAACAGGCAAAAGGAAACGAGATAGACACATGGTTCCTTTTGAGAATATGCATAGAATCACTTTCTGAGTCGATTTTGAATTGGGAAATATCGGTTCAGATTTAGATATAGCTCCCACATCGTAAATGGTGCACCAAAGTCCGTTTATATCTTTCGATTTGCATGAAATTTGGCACAGCGTAATGAATTATGTATAGAATGATGTGTGTTAAGTTTCCTGAAAATCGGTTCAGATTTAGATAGAGCTCCCATATATAGTTTCGTCCGATTTTATGTAAATGATGCACCAAAGTCCCTATATATCATTCGATTTGCATGAAATTTGTCATAGCGTACTGAATTAACTCTAGAATTATGTGTGCTAAGTTTCATGAAAATCGGTTCCGATTTAGATATAGCTCCCATATATATTTTCGTCCGATTTAAGATAAATGGTGCACCAAAGTCCCTATAAATCTTTCGATTTGCACGAAATTCGGCACAGGGTAATGAATTAGGACTAGAATTATGTGCGTTTAGTTTCGTGAAAATCGGGTTTGATTTAGATATAACTCCCATATATAGTTTCGTCCGATTTAAGACAAAAACTTTCGATTTGCACGAAATTTGGCATAGCGTACTGAATTGAGTCTAGAATGATGTGTGCTAAGTTTCGTGAAGATCCGTTCAGATTTAGATATAGCTCCCATTTATATTTTCGTCTGACTTTACACAAATGGTGCACCAAAATCTTAATGTTTGTCCTATTTACACGAAATTTTACGCAACGTATCGAATTGAGATTTACGTTTTGTTGAAATTGGTGCAGATACAGGCATAGCTTCCATATGTATTTCGAATGGGTGTCTGATTGAGATTAAATTTTTCACAGTGCAACGTACTGTGAAAAATAGCGTGTATCAATTTTGCTATAAATCATTTTCCATAAGTTTGTCCCATGGTACGCAGACGACTATAAATCTGCCCGAATTAGATTAAATTTATCATAGGTTGCAGAAAGACATGAATATGTTCCTTCAAGGGAACATTGACATACAATTGTAAGGATACATATGTACAATATACTCAAGTGGTGAAGTGGTAATATAGTCGGTACAGTCCGACTTTACTATTTTCCTTACTGGTTTTCTAAAGTAGACTATGAGATCTCTTTCTTAAGAACGTTGAGGTCTTCTTTTATAAATAACCATGGAGTCTTCTCCTAGAAAGCCATGTGGTCCTATTCTATGAAAGAAATCTTCTTATATAGAAGGCCATGAGGTTTTATTCTATAGAAGATATGTCTTTTTAAAGGATGCCAAGAGGTCTTCTTTTATAGAAGACCATACTTCTTCTGTTATAGATGACCATGAGGTTTTCTTATATAGAAGATAGAGAGGTGTTCTTCTATAAATCACCAAGATGTCTTCTTATATAGAATATCATCTGATCATATTTTATAAAAGACTATCTAGCCTTCTTCTATGGAAGATTATCTGGTCTTCCTCTGCAAAATATTAGTTGAAAATCGTTTTTCTATCTCTGTCCCACTGTCCCCATATCATAGATTTGAAATGCAATTTACGAAAAAAATACATCAATCCCCTAAAGATAAAGAGGAAACCGAAAAAGTTCGTAGTTCACCAAAAATGTTGTTGTTGTTGTGTGTTGGGTTGTTAGTTTATTTATTATTCCTATTTCGATTGACAGGTTTGTCGCCCTGTTTTTTTTTTTTTTTTTTTTTTTGGTTTTGCCAGTTGTCTGTCAAAGTTTGCGTTTTGGATTTTTGTCAACATTATTGACGCTGTGGTAGAAGTTGTTGTTCCAGGTTTTGTGTTTTGTACCTATGACGAAATTTATTGCATCCATCCGTTAGTTAAACGAACACTGGAGATCATGTGTTAAGGAGCAGAATAAGTGTATTATATTAAAAGGCCTCTGCAGATGATTCGACTAACTTTTGACAATTATGAATAAAATAAGAAACTTCAATAAATTCAAATAAGGGCTATTGGATTAAATTTCGTCCTAAAGCCGGAAGGGTCAGACTATACGACATATTTCGTAGTATAAGTAGCACAATATATTAAATAAGACTTGATACACCCCATTCTACAACTAATTCGAAAGTATGTAAATATGGGTGTACTTAGTCCCCAGTATATATATATATATATTATATACAAGTATTGGAGGGAGACTCGTCAAACTCTTGTTTACCAATTAATTTGAAATTAAAATAGTGTTCCTATTTGATTTTCTTGCAGTGTAGTATTGCAGTTATGAATTATAATTTGTAATAAAAAAGATTTGCATGAATCCACCCACCCATAAGCCTTTCATTTATTTATTATTTTGTTGTAGTTGTATTATGTTGTACATCCAAATATTGTTTTCATTTAATTTGCATATCAATTTCATTGTAGGAATAATTTTGTTGTTGCGGTTATTACGTTTGTCATTTTGTGTTTCACAAATTTTGGGAGTTCCTGGAGGTTTACGTAGTCATTTTAGTTAAATGTTATTGTGGCTTTTATGACAACATTTTTAATAATATTTTTTTTTATTCTATTGTTTATCTAATTATGGCGATCTGGGAGGTCTTTCGTTCCATGGGAATAAAAACTAAAAACAACGACAATTAAATAAAGGGCACTGATTCTTGTACTGATAAAAATTGTATCATGGTGAAAGAAGAAGAAAAAATTGATATAATTTACCGATATTGAAACAGTTACCATTTCCATTGGACGAGAAATTGGTGAGAAATGTCTCAATTTTTAGCTTCTCGTTTGCAATTCTGACATAACCGCTTTCAATCAAGGCAAACGTAGGAACCGATTTTTGTAATCGTATGGAAAGGTTTATAAACCAGTAAGGAAAGTAGTAAAGTCGGACGGGCCGACTATATGATACCCTTCACCACTATGGGTATATT